AAATTTGGAGTGATGTTCTGCGCTCTGAAAAATAAAACGACAAAAAAGAAACCCTCCGTCTGAAGGCACAAAATACATGTTTGGTAAGAAAGACAAACTCAACAGAAACAATAAGGAGCCAACTTGGAACACGATTGGCTAAGGATGGTGAAGATGTAAGAGGATTGCAAATAACGAACTCAAACGAATTCAGTCGAAACCTTTCAAGAAGCTGAAACCGTAATGTGACTGCTCAAAATCATTTGAAAGAGTTTCTGTCAGCTATAGAGTTCAATGCGTACTTAAATCATGAAAATTTCTGTCCCTAAAGCCACTATGAAATGAAAGACAGCACCCCTCAAAAAGTGGCTGTTGATTGTTCCCGATCCTATAACTGTTATCTTTTGATTCCACCCTGTGTTTATATCACTGTCAGGGTGGCCTCCTACATTACCGAACCTCAACCCTACTGAGCCCCAACAATTATCAAAACAGAGCTTCTCCTCAAAATCTCACTAATTATCGAGCATGGAGGAAACGAGAAAACCAAAATCATCACTGAGGAGAAACCGTTTTGATAAAAATGCACCCTCCTCCAGCTTGTAGTATATATATATATATGCACATGTATGTATATATATGTATACACACACACGTTCCCTTAAGCGTTGCAATTTGAAAATACACATGAAATATATGTACCTTTTGTTTTCTCAAAACAAAAGGTGTATATATTTCTATATGTTTTTGAAATTGCAACGTTTTTGAAAACAGGGAATATATTTATCTATGTCAGCCAGTTGAGAGAGTTTGCCTGTTGGCGTTGAGACTGTAGGGTCAAAGTAGAAAAAACGCATTAAAATATTACTACAAAAACGTTCCCACTCAGGAGACTGCGATTACATTAAATTTGAAATAAAAACTGTAGTGTTTACGATATAATTTTGATTCATATTTTCAAATGCCCCACGCTTGTTTAAGAGCCTTGACTGCGCTCTGGATTTTCGTCATAGGGCCGAGTTTGTTTTCAGTTAGCTTTTCCATATCTTCTTGCGTCAATAACAAAAGTGCGCGACCATCAATCTCCTGCAAAGAGAGAGAAGAAACTAGAACCAAGATTACAACCAACATAAAGGAGGGACTCAGTAAAGAAACTTATTGTTCCCTTTCCAAGAACTAACTACATAAAAAATAGTTTTAGTTATAGCGGCGCAATCCTTTGGAATAGCTTACCCTGTAAAATTAGAGAAACTGGTTCATTAACCCAATTTAAACTCCTTCTCTATCATAACTTTTAAACACGGCATTCATGGAAATCAGGTTTTTAAGTGGCACATTGTTGTATGTTAATAAAATGTTAGGAATAGAATTTTTAGGTTCTTAGGATATAAGTCACTGTATTGGAATTGTTTGTACCTAATGAATTTTTGTACAGTGCATAAATAATGTTAAATAAATAAATAAGTAACGAAATTTTAATTTTGCTCACTTTCTCTTCTAAAAATTTTTTTTTCTGACAGATCAAGAGAAACAAAATATCTAATTTCAACAATAAGTCAATTATTTTCTGGTTAGTGCACACTGAAAGGTAGATAACAAACGTTAAATCTTTTCCGCGTTTCATTCCATCTTGAGGCACCGTTTGGAAAACGGCGAAACAAACTGACATACCTGTTTCTCAAAAGCATCCACGTAATTCGAACAGCCGATGGAGAACAAGAAGCTCATCACCTCCTGCACGTTCCACAGCCGGGGATCTTTTCCGCTGTTACAGCTCTGGTACAACAGAACTGACGCTGCGTCTGACTCTTGCGCTGCGGACGAAGAGGGAAGGTTACTCGTGGACGACACCATCGAGTCGTGTGAAGATTCTCTCTCCAAGGGCTGTAGCCAAACAGCTGAGTCGTGATGGCCTTTCATCCTGGGTGGGGCGATGGGTGGGTGCGGAACATCAAGGGTTGTTTCTTGGAGGGCGCGGCCATCGCTTGACGATGTCACACCATTGTCTTTCCCTGAAAGTAGTCATTCGTTATAAAAAGATCAGTTCTTCACGTCGAGGAGGAAAATTGGTTAAATAAATTTTCTTTTCCACAAAGTGTCAAATAATGGTATGTTCCCGCTTACAAAGCCTTCGCATTTTTCGGAACAAAAAAAAAGATTGTTGAATATTTTTAAAGCCTTACAAAATGTAAAAAATAAACACACATACGAAAAATAAAAGTAGGTGAAAAAGAAACAAGAACACAAAATTCCCTACTATGCATCATTCTCCAAAAGCAGTCATGCTATTCGAAACACAAACTTATAAAGGGAGTAAGTTTATAAAGAAACTTGCGGTGCTGCATCGGTGGAAGAATACAGCAGGGTACTTTGGAATGATCAGCTGAGTTGATAACGTAAATTTGCCACCATTAAGAGTTTTAAAGCTGACGTTTCGAGCGTTAGTCTTTCGTCAGAGGGTAGGGCTAAGCTTTGAAATTTTTAACGGTGGCCAACTTACCATATTCGAAACACAGTCTGAGTCATAAAAAAATCTGTTCTTTTTAAGCCAAACAAGAAAGTGAAATCATTACCACACCGAGTTTAAATTATACACCCGAACAGTGTCAACGTCAAGATTTTTTTTTTCTCATTTATAGTTGCTTTTTAGTTTACTTCGTGTAGAACCCAACTTTCTCTTATTTTTACTTTGGATACTTTACTAGTAAGCAAACGAAGTCTGGTAGCAATAACCTCCCTCAAATGAACATGTCCATTTTAACTAGAACGTCCCATGATCAACTGCGAGTGCGTAGAATGAGCTGCTTCCTAACCTTTAAGACAGCTGCTCTGATTGCAGGAGCCGAGAGCGTAGCGCGTAGCACTGACAAGCTCCGAGCAGCACCCCAGCACTTGACAGACTCGCTGCAAATACGGCTGAAGATGTTCCGCTTTATTCACAACGCGGACACGCCTCATGAGCCGCTTGCCATTCTTGCTCTTAGTCTCAATGCACACTGTTCCCCCAAGTTGGAATTCTCTGGTAACCAGAAAAAGAAAGGGGAGAGAAACAGAGAGTCAGTTTGAGCGATAAACGTGGTCCTCTAAAAGTAGCCTCGCTAGACATGGGCCGGCTGATTAACTCTTTCACTCCTAGGACCTCTGCGGTAGTTTTCATTACTGTCTACCACAATTTTTTAAGTAAGTTTCTTCAATGTTAAGGCATATAAGTTCTACCTGTTTTTCTTGCTCTGATAAAACTCGCGGCTAAACAACTCCAGGACCTGTTTGGGATTGATAGACGCGGAGACCAAGTGCTGCATACACAGTCGCATAATGTTGTGCTTCTCAGGTCCTACCACGGAGCCTCTGACTGCATCAGGGAGACTGCGCACTAAGTCACGGCTTAAGAGCGGTCCTGGGAAACAGCGCTTGTTCAGATATACCTCCTCCTGGGGGTAAAGCGATTTGGCTGGGATAGGAAACAGAAAAAGTTTCAAGCTGTTATAGAATCTTTCCACAATCGTCACCTTAAAGTTGTTAAAGGTTGTTAACTGCCGAAGAAAATTTTGGAAAGCTGAAGTTTTGAAGGTTAGACGCTCTCCTGACTGCTTCAGGTAACTAGTGTCGCTTGCAACAGTCGCTTATTTACTTGTTTCACATCCGCTTCACATGCATTGGGAGTGCGGGAATGATAAGAAAACCCTTTGTGCGATGCAATCACATCAACTTTTCATTCTAGTACCGCTGCACAAAGTAAGCGGTGGCACTCACTTTTTTTCTTTTGTCCATCGTCGTCAGCGGATGTTCGTCTTTTGACAGGCCTACTCAGGGGTCTGGGCAATGATTGACGGCCGACATCCGTAACTGGACCGTAACGTTCGACAAATTTATCAGGCATTGGTCTGCATAAAAGTAAACAAACAGACGAGAGATTTGAATCATTCTCCCCACAAAGATGTCAGCAAAACATTGCTAAGTACTACATTTTAATCGAACCAGAGGCACACATTAGTGGCGATCGGGAGTTGAAAAAAAAGAAGACTTCAACACCACTTACCTACAGCGTTCACAACGAAACTTAAGCTGTTGATTGGCTTTTAACCAAAGGTTAACTGGAGCAGCCTGATTTTGAATTACCGCAATGAAATTACGAGTATCACTGTTTCTTGATTCGAACCCATAAGACAAATTTAATTTTGAACCATTCTTAACGACACATTGTATTGTTGCAAAAACTTTACAACGATTTCGACAATGACAGCAAAGAAGGAGTAATAGCACATTGCTTTCTGATTGGACATGACGGTTGAGTAGAAAGAGCAGGAAGAGCCGCTGGCTTACTCATGATTCTTTCAAACTAGCACTGCGATACTTCGGAAACGACAGACAGACAGACAGACAAACAGACAGATAAGGAAACATGCACATAGAAAGAAAGACACACAAACGGGCAGACAGACAGTCTTACAGACAGACCCACAAAAACAATTCTCACCCTGGAGGTTGCAGGGGATGATCAACAGAGGTGCAGTAACTGACAGGAAAAATATCCAACGAATCTTTATCCACCAGCTGATCGTAGGACTCGTCCCAGCCGTCAAAATGGATTCTCAGCAAGGGTCCCTTGAGGTCTGTTACCGTTGCAGGGCAGATGAGGGCGGGTTCGCGCAGATCCACTGCTTCAAGTTTGGTTCCAATTTTAAAATTGTTTTCACCCCTTTGCTCCTTAGTAATGAAAGATGAAACTGGTTAACCCTTTAACTCCCAGAAGCGATCAACCTGCCACTTCTCCCTATAATATCCATACTTTATCCAGCAAACAGGTAATGAGAATACTCAAAATTATCAGGTAAAGTTATCTTGATTTAACACAAAATGTTCGTTGCCAATTTACAAGGAAATGTGTATAAGCTGGAAGGGATCATTAACAATCAGATCTTGGGAGTTAACCCTTTCACTCCCACAAATGACCAAGACAGAATTTCTCCTTACAACATCAATACAATATCAAGCAGGCAGGTGATGAGAATAGAGAAGAATATCAATCATGGGATTATTAGTTGATCCAATACCAAATTCTCTGAACTAACACCATAAGAATTGTATGGCAGATAGTAAGGAGAATTACTAATTAGATCTTGAGAGTAAAAGGGTTAAGGGGAGCGAAACAATAACTACTTGCTCTAACGAAGGGCTAATGCTCGAAACGTCTGCTTTAGGAGGCCACTTTACATTATCAACTCGATTATCTCGTTTTACTCCTTCACTAACGCAACCCCACAGTCTCGTTAAAAACTTTTCCCCTTTGAACGTTGACAAAGAAAAGTTTATTTCAAGCCTCTAAGCTCGTTACAACACGAAAGAGAGAAAAACAAATATTTCAAATAAACATTAAGTGCTTGAAAATCCCAACTGGCGGGAGGCAGACCAGATGGCCATTTACACAGCGCACCCGAAGAGTTGAACTCGGGGCGACCGAGAACAAATCCAGTGAGTGGCAGGGTGGAGGACGTGAACCCGGCACCACGAAACTCCAAGTCCAGCGACCTAGCTACTTGGTCATACCGCCTTCTTCAATGAGCGCTTAAGGGTTACAAGTAGTTATTACCTGTCGAAAGAGCTGAGGTGGGGCTTCGATGCCACCCGTCTTGGCAAGATATTCCGGCCAGCTAAAAGCCTCTTGGGTATAATCTAAACGGGTCAAAATCAAGGCGTTATTACAATGTGTCTTTCGAAATTAATAAGAAGTTGAGTGGAAGATTGGACACTAGTTACTTTTCGGCGACCCAATGTTGTATTCATTTTTGTTTAGCGACGCGTTGGTGCGTCACTGGCATTTCCATGTGAAAACACCCTAAGGCACTCTTAGGTTAAAGGACTGCTCTATCTACGACCATCTTCATCAGACCCTGATCGAACTCCTACCAGCAAAAACTCTTAAAAACAAATTTGGCCGCCACTTAGCCGTTTCAAAGTTCACACATGAGCGGACGTCTGACCGCTGTGTTACCGTATGCAGCCAGTTATTGCTTACATTTCTGCTGAACCATGCTTACGAGCATTTTACTTCAGTTGCAGACACCCTTCTTGCGTTCTTGGTGTGTCCGCTTATTAAGCTTCGATTGTTCCAAGGAAAAAAAATAAATCTCTAGAAGAAAAAAACAGAAGCATATACCACCTCTGGGCGGGTGTAACTGCAGCCCGTGAGCCTTAGCCCATCCGCAGGGGAACACGTTAATTGAGTTAGCGTGACACACAAAGTAAGTCGCCAGAGAATCGACTCCAAGCACGAAGTAGTTGAACCTCAGGACCTTGATCACCGTCACTACACACACATGACTCGGGTTGAACGGGTCGATAGCCTCAAATTTCATGCCCACTTTAAACTGGTGAACGCCAGGGGCTGTTCCCGTAGAGTCCTTAAAACAAAAATAAAAAAAAAAATCAAAAATGAATGCTTGATCGATGAGCCGCGTCACGTCATCTTCTGTGATACGCTTCAATTTTGGAGCAATTTTCAATCGGTGGGGAAAAGTAATTTAAGATTGCAATAATTTTGCTTAAAAACCTTTATACCCTAACATCAACATGCATACTCTCTATACTGTTCTCTAAACATTTCCTAAGTTGCTGGCAAAGAGAATTTGTTTAATAATCAAAAGGGTTAATACATTTTGCGATTTGACAAGACAACTGGAGCCACCAACTGACCCTATCTGAAATATTACGCCTTGGCCAACAAGTACATGTTATATAGAGTGTTGCGAATCCCAAATTCCAGCTCAAGATAATTGTAAGTCCGTTGCTGTACCACGAGGTTTACAAACTGAATTAAAATTTGGAAAGTAATAAATTTTTAAATATAATTTGCACAACTTAAGTATTTTTCATTCAAAGATATAATCACTTACAAGCCTTAGAAATTAAATATACTTTGAGACGCTTACCTGTACAAAAAATTCCTGAGGTGCATCTAATGAGTTTGCCAAATCATCCGCCAGGAATTCATTCCACTTGCTGAGACTGTGTTTCCAGCCTAAATGACAATTAGACGCACATAGTGGTGTTAAGAAAAACCAAGATATCTGTGACGCCACATAAGCCTATATACAAAATCCTGACAGGGGAACGGATAGTCAGAGTAGGAGAAAGTTAAAGATGGATTGCTTTTAGGGTAGACGTGAAAAACGTTGGCGAAACATTTTCGAGAGATTTACCCGGTGGATAGCATTATCCTGACCCTTAAACACCCTTGCAAAGTTATTCGAGGTAACGAAAAAAACTGGTTATATGATTTAGGAGCCATACAAAAAATGTGTGGTTTAGGTATCCCAAAGAAATCCAGCCTAACATATCTGTCATTGGTGCATCGTTTTAATTCACCCCATCCTTAGGTCTTCCTGTCCCTTAGTGGTTTATCATTGCCCCTTTTTTTTTCCACTATAAGAAAGCGGGATTTTTCACGTTTTCATCAAGTAGTCTCGTAAGTGCAGTGACACACTTGAAGTCATGAACTTCATGCGTGTACTCCCCACGCACTTCACGTGTAGAACACGCACACCACGCGTCACCACACACATCTGCGTGTAAACCGCCATACGCGTGCAATTTCTCATATGCACGCGCGTAACTACACGCCCTGGAAGGGTGTATAATTCCCACGCATCATACGCGCTTCACGCTCGAACAGAGAGTGGTTCTGTACTTCATCATGGCATCACGACATACACTCACCAATGGGTGGCTGCAAAGTATGTCCAACCAGGGATGACCAGCCAATAGGATGAATCTCAGCCGATTGGTAGTGGCACCAGAAGTCTTCAGCCACATCGTCATCCAGTCCGTCATACCGCATCCTCAGGCGGTCTCCGATCACATCAACTATGGTCGCCACGCACATGGAGTACATATTCTTACGATCGGCCACTTCCACCTTCATGCCCTTCTGAAATCTGTTGTAAGATTGGCTTTGCAGTTGTTGAAGAAATTCAACCGAGAAAGTCTTGGCTCCTGAGAGACATTTGAAGAGGTAGTCCCTCCAGTTGGCGCATTTCTCTCTGATAGCTGTACAACAAAAAGGGTACTAAGAAAAGTTGTCCTGAGTGGATATAGATTTCTAAAAAATCCAGAGTGAAAAATATTTGAAATTTCTTCAAGTCTATTGAATTTTTGCTTGTGACTTTTTCTTTAGTAACAAAACATGGTCTTGAATCCTTTCCCGCTGGCTTGCCTTTCGTTTCAAGATGTAATCCACGTGTACACAAATATTTCACTAGATAGGAGTGACTACCTCCTTACATCTAATTTCTCCTTACAATGTCACCCCTGAATCAAACATTTTATGGTCAGGAGAATAAAGGAGGTGATCACCAGCTAAAGAAGCTCTTGATTGTTAATCACATTCTCTTTGCCAGCACCTCATGAAATGTGCACCGAACAGTATGGAGAATATGCATGCTGATGTTAGGGTGTAAAGTGCAAAGTTATCATACCTGGAGGCGGTATGAGCAGTTTATTTCTCTTGGCGCACCAACCAACTGGATGGATGTTCTTTGACCTCAGATCAAACCAAAAATCGCCTGCAGGGTTTACCTCGTACCCTTCATACCGTAATTTGACTCTGTAGTGTTTGATTTCAATCACGGTCGCCACCCAAAAAGCAACATCTGTATCATCTACGACATCCATACTGCAGTTTACGACTTCCACTTTCATGCCAACATGTACGCCTTTCAAACAAGGGCTCAGACTTACCTAGAAACAACACAACGATGTCAGCTCCGCTCTGGTTCCGATATAGAATTCTCCGCTATAAGTAGCAGGATTACTTTGTTTATAAGAAATATGAACACCCCTCTCGTGATCTTAAAGACCTCCAATTTATCGCATTACCGCGCATTAGCCCTTCAAATGTGCAACTTGTGCGCTGGTTGTCCCAAACTGGGCATTTATCGCTCATTCACGAACACCTTAACCAACAGATTCAATTCAAACTTACATGCTCAAAATAATGAGTAGGGGCAGCTTTCGCTCCGGTTTTTCTGAGGTATTCTGTCCAGTCAAAGCTACGATTCTGCCAGTTTTCACCAACATCTTTGTACAAGGAAAAGTAGAGAGGAATGTTTCAAAAAAATGAGGTCACAACAAATAGGCGATGAATTGAATTGACAGAATTTACCTTCTCGGGACAAAGGGGTCGCACTTGCTCCCGAACGTTCTGCTTCTTCCTGAAATGTGTGCGAAATGTCAAAAGTGAGCTGTAAAATTTCTACTTAAATGCGCAATACATTGCAATGTTTCCCAGAGAATTAACACGTTAACCCTTTAACCCCTAAAAGCGACTAACATCTAATTTCTCCTTACAGTATCATCCTTAAATCAAACATTAAGGTCATGAGAATAAAGGAGATGATCACAAACTTAAGAAGCTCTTGATTGTTGAACAAATTCTCCTTGTCAGAACCTTAGGAAATGTGTAGAGAGTAGTATGGAGAAGATACATTCTGATTTTAGGGAGTAAAGGGTTAACAGAATTTCAGTTACAACAAGCTATGTGTATCTGTACATCGTAGAAATCTAGCGTTGATTTTTCATGCACGATCAGGGTTAATCTTACTAAAAAGGGGGAAAAAAGTAGATAAATCATAAAATAGAATACAAGTTGACACAAATCGTGATGAATCTACCATCCCTCTAACTCCCAAGATCTAATTAGCAATTCTCCTCTCTAGCTGCTATAACTTTCCTTCGAATCAGTTCGGAGAACTTGGCATTACATCAAGATAACACACTTTAGATGATAAGTTCATCTGTTCTCTTTACCTGTTTGCTGGATAATGTATTACTATTGCAAGGAGAAATGAGAATTTGATGACTCATGGGAGTTAGAGGGGTTCATGGGTTTGTGGAAGTGTTGCCTTACCTGCTGCCCATCTTGACTCACTTCTTGCACACCAGACGCTGCTGCTGCAGTAGAAGCTGACGATGCTGCCGACGCAGCAGCAGCAGCAGCAGCAGCAGCTGCCGCATTTGTATTGTGTGCGTGTCTTTCCGAAGTTCTGTGTTTCTTTTTCGGCGTTCCAATCTTTTCTCCCTTCGACTTCTTTTTAATATTCGATGCAGAGTATCTTTTTGCACACTCCATTTTACAGAATCGTTTGGACTTTGAGAAAAAGTGTTCCCTTACTCCAATGTAGCAGCAGAATTCACACTTTGCTGTATCGGACAAAACAGTCACTAGGTTAGAAAGAAGATCGAGTTTTAAAGAAACTTTATGGTGTCTGTCTGAAGTTCTGTGTTTCTTTTTTGGAGTCCCAATCTTGTCTCCTTTTGCCTTCTGTTTAATATTGGACGCAGATGAGTATCTTTTCGCACATTCCATTTTACAAAAGCGTTTGGACTTTGAGAAAAAGGATTCCCTTATTCCAATGTAGTGGCAGAATTCACACTTGGCTGTATCGAACAAAACAGTTATTGTGTTAGACATTAGAAAAGGTTAAATTTAAAGGAACATTTTAAGGTATATTCAGCATTTAATCTCAACTTTAAAGAAACTTTGGACCATAATAGTAATAGTTGAATGCATCGTGGGTTTAAGCTATAACTAATTAGATAATTTGTATGAAACATTTTAAGCAGCCCACACATGCATGAAAACAACTTTGAAGAACATAGCCAAGTGGTAAAAACATCTAATGGTTTAGGTGGAAGTATCATATTCAAAGTGACTGTAGAATGATTCAGCGTTTTTTACATACAGTTATAAAAATTTCATCTTCTCTTCATTCATATGTAAAAACAATGTCCAAAATAAAATTGAAATGATGCAGGATGTCACTAATTGTTATAGTTTAATTATGGTTGACCATGGAATCCAAAAATGGAAAATGGCTCACATGTCACTGAGCAGGCACTTTTAGGTGATCTTGTCTAATCATAAAGTACGGGTAATTTAAGATGATAACAAATAAAAAAAAAATACAGTCCACATGCCACTTTGGATAGGTCTACCGACACCCTTCATTTTCACTAGTGGTAAGTAAATTTGTTCATTTAGAGATTCATCATTTTATATTCATCACCACTACACAACTGAACCAGTTTAGATTAAATTCAAAAGTGAAGATGAGGCTAACATCTTCACTGTAAGAGTAACAGAATGATGTTTCTTTTCTTGGGGTGATTATTTACCTAAGAAATAAACAGCCAAGGATTTTGTAACTCAATTATGCAATAGGCCTCATTTCCTATCAGTTTACTGGCATAACAACCCTAGTATGAAGTAGAGCAAAAATAAGAAAGGTTTCTAAATCATAAGCCTGAATTGTTCTCCCAACATCCTGTTTGGGTTATTATGTCAAATAAAACAATCGAAAGTGCGCTCTATTGCTTTTATAAAATAAACTTCACACATGCAATAAAGGATAGGTTCACGACCAATCAGGGCACTTGTCTTATCTTGGTAATTTAATAAGAGATTACTTCATACATGTATTAATAGCTGTACCATGACTTTAAATGAGTATTTTTAAAGCTATTATAATTATTAACACTTCATTAACTTTCAACCATTTAATACCGTTTAAGTATGAATGAGCTTAAAGATTAACGATGCTTGACTGACAATACAGAACAAATGCAAGTTGGTCCTGAAGTTCAGCTATCAAATAAATGCCGAATCCGCAAGATTGTGAGATGCTTAAATACAGTCAACTCTCTCTCATAGGCAGACACCCTTGGTAATTGGGAAAAGGGTCCCTACAAGAATCATTCCCATACACAGACAAGAAAAATAGGGTGGATGAGTGTTAGGTTGGACTCTTGTTAATGTCAAAGGAACTGACAATTTTCTTTCCTGTGGACAAATAGAGATTTGCTCTGTCAAAGGTCATATTTTGTTGATATGCAAATTGAGGACAAATTTTATTGCCAAGAGTTAATTATTATCCATGGGGTGTCCACTTACAAGGGAGCATAAACAAAAAAAAAAACACTATTTTCACTTTCAAAAGTGTCCATGTCAACTTACAAGAGAGTGCTGCTTACATGAAAGTGTTAATTAAGATTTTGACTACAAGGCAAAATTGAAAAAAAAATGTCTGCAAGTAGAGCTGTCTGCTTACGAGAGTGTCAATTAGCAGAAAGTTATCTGTAATTGGTTATCAATTTGAATTTTGTTAATCAAGCCAAATTGAACATCATAACTGTGGAATGATTTCTGCATAAAAGATTGGCCCTTCAGCCATGCAAGTTGGACTGATACCCAAACTTCACTTCAGATAAATGCCCATTGCTAGGCATTAAGCAGCTTATCTTATTCCACAAGGGAAAGCAATACACCCTTGTGATCTTCAAGTTGATAATCAACTACAATGAGTGATTTATATCTCAAAAGTCGACATTACCCATGTTTTCGGGGAGTGGCTCTTCCTCTGGAATTTCCTCTTTGGGTTTCTCTTCCTTAACCTGTAATCAAGAAGAAAATATTTTCTAGTCAGATCTAACTTATGGTTTCCATAAAGAGAGAAGAGCCAAATAAAGCCCATTAAGGCTGGTCAGTAAAGAGAATTTACTTAAACAACGAGGGTCATCATAAGTGGAATGTTAAATGACAGTCCATCAATAATATATTCCAAACTTCATTCTCAAACATTTCGACCCCTTAACCCCACAACTAAAGAGTGACCATCATCTGATTTCTCCGCACAATAATACTGCTAAATCATTCATCAGGATTATGAGAATAAGGGAAATGATCTCCAACCTGAGAAGCTTTGATTGTTAAACAAATTCTCCTTGTCAGTACCAATGGAAATGTATAGAGAAGAGCAAGGAGAAAACAGAAACTGATGTTAGGATAAAAAGGTTATGGTGTCAAGTTTTCAATTGTTTGAGTTTTGAAACTCTTGATTGGAGAACAAAGTTACTTTCCGCAAAATTACTTTTCTTAGTGCTACCATTACCAGAGTCAGAGGCTCATGATTTACAAACTTTTCTAGTGTTTTCCCAACATTTCATGTGGTTTATTATGCCAGTTAACTCATAAAAAGTGGGGTCTGTTGCTGAAATCATTGACTTATTCTGCACACTATGTAAATATAAGTACATTTATTTAGCCAACCTCCTCAGTTGTTGGCTTTTCTTGGGTGGATCCTTCATCTTTTTCCACTGCAGGGCCTGGATCTGGGCTGTCATAATTACGGGTTTCTTCTTCGCCATAGAAAGCCAGGATTTCTCCTTGCCTCTCTTCCTCAACTTCTGCCTAAAAATGGTCCAAGTCCAAATAATTATATTAAGTAACTACCTGTAACAACTAATAATTCACTCAATATTCGTGTATAGTAAAGGAAAATATCTGCACTTAGTACAGTGTATACACCACACAGGTGAATGGTGTTTTTTGTCCACACTGATTGGCTAGTTCAGTAGTGATTATCAAGTATTGTTCACCTCCAAGCAGTTCAAGAGACAAAATTGGCATTAACAATTTCATTTTCCCACCATTTTGGGTACACTGACAGAAATAAACTTTTTTTGGTATCCATGCTGTATACACTAAACCAACCAGTCACGTTCACTTTGGTGAATATTTGTTAATTATCATTAAATATCCAAGTGCAACTAAAATGAGTCATACCCTGGAAATGTTTATATTAAGTATTCAATCAAGGCAAGTTACATGGGAAAAAAAAAAAAAACAACACATTTCACTCATCCACATCTCACAGTTTTTTAACACGTTAAATTAGTATTTCCCTTCTACGAAAAGCAAGGCATTGATGATTTAAGCTCTCTTCAAATTATAAAATCATATAAATTGTACTGTTGTTGAACTTATTTTTAATTTGTAGGAAAATTGGCCAGAATTGCCATGAATGGTCATTTCATTTTACACAATAAGCTGTAAGGCTTTGAAAAATCTTTTCCATTGCACTTCAAGTTGAGTTTTAATCATAACCAGAAATTTAATTACTCTTTAAGAAAGCAAGGTACAACAAGATTTCTCATAAATAAAAAGTGTTTCTTTAGATTGTAAATAAATTATAAATTCCTCTTGTCAATCCACTATGTACTTGTTACTAACATAAGAAACTCAATAGAAATGGTTTCCCAAACAAAAAAAGAACTGAACACAGAGAAACTAAAGAAAAGCAACACTCTATGTTGAATCACTTTGAAGAAATAAATGATTTTATCAGTTATCAAGCAAATAAGACAGGATTTTAATTCAATTTTCATTTCTACCCTCAAAATACAAATAAAATCATTCATACCATCTACCAAAATGAAGAAAACGTTGTTACATTTTGACCTTCAAATACACGTATATACAGAAACTTCCATTTGATCTATTTTTAGACTGAACCTTGTATTTGAAAGTTAAATGTAGTGTATCTGTGTAGATTATTGAGATCAGAGAAAAACCCAAGAATTATAACATATGAGAACACATATACATGTAGTATGATTGTTCAAACATTGACAACTGATTTTTACTTTGGACCAGTTGAAGTAATAAATTCAACATTCCTTATTCCTTAGCAAAAAAGAGAAACATAAATTTAAAACAAAAAGTTCCCCTATTTTGAAATTAAAATAGTATAAATTTTCCCATAGCTAACACTTTAAAAAATAAGGAAAGTGGCACCTCCTAGTGTGCCACTTTCAATTTCTTTTTACTGCCACCATGGTAACAGATATTTGTGGAAAATATCACAAAAATGTTGGCAAAATCTGTGTTGAAAACTCAAGCATTAGCAACCTTTGAAGATCAATCAGTGAGTTACAAATTTATCAGCAAGTTTTAAAATAAACTTGTGTGCATGATGTTGGCTCAATTTTTTTTTCTAGATTTAAAATTCTGCAAACCTGTTTGACTCCTGTTTTTTCAATTTCAGGTAAAAACACTCATGAATAAATTGTAGTTCAATTTTTCCCTTAGTTTAAAATTTGTCAAACCAGTTTCATGATCTTAAGTTAATTTCTTCTGCATTCATTATCTTTAATGAAAACAAAGGAAAAAATAAAAATAAACTTGTTTTGAAAAATTTTGATCAATGGAAAAAAATTTGACCCAAAACAAATCGAAACCTTGTGATCAACATGGGAAGTGAGAGCAGTGTACAACCAATGGTTGTTGTTTTAATTTGTCATTCCTATATAATTGTATTTAAACTCCATAAATGACCACAATTTTGGATGATTATGAAAGGAAACTTGTACCAAACTGTTTTATACTGCACCACAATGGAATGGTACACATTCTTGAGCCAGATTAAATCAGAAGGTTCTTTTCATATCCAACAACAACTCATGAACAGTACCTTGACATTTGGTTGTTCTTGTTCTACAGGAGCTTTTACACTTGTTTCATCTGATACTTGAGCAGCATTACCAACTGGTTTTTCATCTTTTGTGTCCATGTCCACATTTTCTTCTGCTGGGACTTCTCGTGCAGCTGCCCCTGAATTCATTGGTAATGGTGTGTCATTGCTCCCTACACAAATCAAATCAGCGCTGAATTGTTAATACAAATCTCTATTCTTGCAAATTTTTTCTAACATGACTGCCACTATAAAACTACCAATACACAGTATCTTAACTATTAGCAGAGAAATAATCAGGAAGCCCAAAGAAACCTTGGAGTTTATAAAGTACAGGCTTTCTCAAAACTATGAAAAATAATTTTAAAAATTTCAATACACAAGAGATCTTAACTCAGTTTCACAAAAGAGCTTGAGCCTTCAGTTGAATATCGATGTAGTAGGCTTAAGAGGAAATCAAATAACACTGATTTTAAACTAGACTGAATTTACTCTACATCCTTTGAAAATAATGATATCCTGGACCTAGAATACCAGAAAATACATACAAAACTAGTTTAAAATCATTGGAACTTAATTCACATCAAACACCAGCATTTATATCAAGTTTAAACATATATTTTAGGTTACATTCAGTCTGGTATAATTTGCAGTTGTTCTGTTTAAGAATTACTAAGGCTGGTACAATTATATTTGGAAAAAAAAAAATTATGAAATTGCTTGAATAAATTTGCTAAAAATCATTTTGACCTGACATGCATTTTGTAATTCAACATTGATATATGAACTACATTTGAAGAGTGGAAAATAAATATGGGTCAAGAATCAAATTTACTATAGCAGAGAGAGATTAATTGTCTTCAAAATATATAGCTTTGGGATAAAAAAATTGAATCTAATATTTTTGTATACTTTGATATGGTTTTGACTTTCTAAAGTTGGAATAAAAATTTTTGTTGGTGATTCTTGAAAACAAGTGGGAAAAATCATGTATTTAAAACCCTCACACAACACAGGAAGTCTCCAAATTGATCCTTACAATCGCCAGGATTCACAAAAACCAATGACATTTTGGCACCTTTTGGCAAATGTATAACCATGATCCTAGTGAACATTGTGACATGTAGCAGCATATTTAAATGAGAAGGGGTAGTCACATGAGTCATATGATTGTCACTCATTTTGCATCAGGAAAGATAAGATTATCATCCAGGAAGTATAAATAAAAATGGTTTATAACAATGGCAAAACATAATGTCCTCAAGCTATTGAAAAGGATTAGTATAATATATATGTGTCAAATTGACTTCCTCTACACCAGTGAATTAATCTATAGAGACACAAAAGTCAAGTCTTGGGCATGTTTACAACATAGTGTTTTAAAAATACTAAGTTCAGATTTTCATATTTTGTTGACTTTGGGTAGTATCTATTATTTTAGTTATTCAAGATAGGTATAACATGGTTTATTTATGTTGAAACAAGGTAACTAAAAGATAAGGTTAATTTAAAATGGCTGCCACAGAAATATGGTGAAAATAAGAAAAGAAACTTTTGAGTGAATAAAAGATATTCTCAGTAACATCTCTTGATATACAGTGAAGTATTGAAAAAAATAGTAGATTAAAATCTTAAGAAAGGTAAAAATCAGACTGAAGGGCAAAGCTAAAAGAACTCAATTAAATATAATAAAAAAAAAAAAAGTGACTGAGAAGCATAAAAACTAAATACAATATTTCCATCAGCCCTTTGTAGGGTTAATCATTTTTTTTCTAAGGTAGCCCTGTAACTCCCTTATAAATGTAACAAACCATCTCATTTAATGATCAAAAGCACAAGTATGTCACATCTTTTATTGAACTGTCTAAGTAACTAACCTGGTTTTTCTTCTGAGACTTTTTCTTCTGAGACTTTCTCTTCCTACAATTTCAAACAAAATTTAGCATGAATAGAAGGTATTTTAAGCAAATCTAACCCTTTTAATTTCATTCAAAATTAATAAATATGTCACAAACATTTCTCAAACCACAACCACACAATGATGTTTGAGTTTTCTATCAATCTTCTGTTTTTGTGAGTAATTTGGAGGGATCAACAACAACAAATCAACAGACATTTCAATATCTACACATAGACAAGGAGTGTGTAGAGCAATATGCTTATATATATACATGATTTTTTGCCTTTGGGGAAAAATACTATCTATAGGGCATGTTCAAAAGATCATTGTTCCTTTAAAGTCAATGCATATGGTCATCAACACCTTAAAACAATGCTTTACAGTTTTAAAACAACAAAAAACATACAATTAAACTCGAGTTTTATGACATCTTGATATTTTTAGACGTGTAAGAATCAACACCACCTTGTAAATTATCCAAGATATTTCAAGATCTACATGACTACTCCTTTTACTCAAAGGAAAAACACTTTCCACACATACATAACTAAAATAAAAAGAATACAATCATACAAGCAGTAAAATCATTATAACACCTAATTGATCCACATTTATGTTCTTTTACGGACGACAAAAATGCAACTTCGTGTTAACATGAATGTTACAGGGATCAGTCAAAAAAATTAAATCTTCAAGTAGGTTCCAGGTATTCAAAAGTTATAAGTATACATTCTATAAATAGCCAGAAATAAAAGAGGGAGGATAAGTAAAGAATTCGAATCATTCAAATGAAAGGAACAGAGATGGCAAGATCGATTTTTTTTTTCAATAAATGTGGTCCAGAAGATAATGAGTGTTTTAGTTTTGTCTAAAGTACTATTCACTTAAACCCCCGTCACCTTTCAGTTTCTTTGCGACATCAACAGAGGTTTTCAAATACGCTTGGACACTAACGTCTTCTCACAGTTCAACTGCGCTTTCTTGTAGAAGAAGTTTGTAAAACCGTTTCCTTAAACATTATTTCAAAACCGAAATTATGTAAACAAATACTCTAAGCGAACTCATGTATGCTATTAGACAGATGTTTCACAACAATTCCTGAACAACCTCAAAATACGTTGAGACCAATTTCCATTAATTTGACATTAAACTAGAGCAATTTTTCTGCTATCTTGCCATCAATACGAATGGTCTTTTGGGTGTTGCTTGGCTTAGAGCTTCTGTTTTCATGTCAATTTCCATTGTTCAGACGAGCAAAAATTTCCCGAAAAAGAATTTGTTCACGAACCACAACATAACGAGGGAAAATTTAGACCAAAATTTTGAGCAATCCTTAATTTAATAATCTAACCACTCTTCAGCAGAACACATAATCTTTTTGTTGTTAAATTAGAACAAAATATTCGAAGGAAATACTCACTGTTCGCGTCTCAGCTGTCGCCATCGTTGAGAATCCAACCTCGTTTTCGTGGCGAACGTCATGCCCAGTCCTCAAAGGGCTTGCCGCTGATGACGTATAATAGGAGTTTTTTTAATTTTAATTAAAGAAATCGCACCGAAATTTTTTTATATTTTTATTAGAAATTCCGTAAATAAAAAAACTTCTGACTTGTCTAATTTTTCTGTCTGAATCTATCTTAACCGTTTGCGTTCAATTTTAAATTCGCGTGACCGAAAAAGTTAAGCAGATATATCTCTGATGTCATTCGTTACCATACTTCTCACGACCACATTCCAACCGAGGCTGAGCTGATCCCAAATATCCAATATGGCTCAGAAAACTCTCTAAGAATTGCTGGAACAATATAATTCTGGTGAGAAATCCGACTCCAATTTTGAACTATTGTGGATATTTTTTTCTTAACTCTTACCTTTCGACTGCTAACTGATGTTCTGGCTACGAAACAGGTGTAAAGTTGTGTTGGTAGATGTTTTGTTTGTGGGAGGGAGTGACATACTTACCTATTTCTCTTTGAAGAATACAATGTTTAAGTGTGTATAAATGTGAAAAACCCAGATACTAAGCTGTTTAAAGTAATTCGACGTAGTAAAGGCTCATATTTTTTCGAAATTTTCTAAGCAAATAACTCAGAATCGAAAAAGGTTCGTGTATTTTCAAACATAATGATTTTAGTCCTACTATGTTTTGGCACATTTTTGTGAATAGTATCCAATGATTAGGCAACTTTTGGCCGTATGTTACTTCCTTGATAAGTGCATATACATTTTGCTCTGGTGTCTTACCTCTAGTGGTGGTTCATCCACCCAAACTATCCATTCAATTCTCAAAATGTGCTCGGCCAAAAAAAAAGGTGTGTAACTTGCAGTTTCAATTCTGTGATGGCTCCAACATTTAAGTTTGTATTATGCTTGTAGCCTCATAAATTCAGACAAAAATGACTTTTTCATGTTTTTGCTCCTAAGGTTAATGTGTACTTAGTAAATATATTTTTTTCAATAAAGCTTGTAGCTTTGAAGGTGATGTAAACAACAAATTCTAAGAACTTGTACATGAACAATATCCAGATGAAAGGAGTTTCACAAGGAAAAGGTCCTGAGGGAAGCTCTGCCCAACACAGAGCACATTCACCTAATAATGATCCCTCTGAAGATGGAAATTCAGGAGATAGAGTAAGTCATATTTGATGAATCTACAGTGGTAACCTTTAGGGAGCTAAATTGTCTTCATTGAATCTGGAGAAGCTCTTGTGATTCTCAATGATCATGTCCAAAACAATTATTTGATAACTTTTACCAAAGTAAACTATCAGTAGTTTAAAAAGGGTAAGTTTCAAAATAAACTCGGGTATTCACTTTCAATCTTAGTTAGGGAGCTGGTTAATGAAATATCATTATCAATGTTTATTCATATTATGTATTTGTATTATCATTGTATTCATTTCACTGTATAAATTGATCTGACCACATTTATGTTAAATAAGGCAATTAAACACGGTTGTTATTTCCAGAAAATGAGCAGCCCTTCTGGTTATGTGGATTGTTGAAATTTCATCACAGCTGGTTTCTTTTAGTTCTTGAGAAGTTCAGTAGCAGCCTTTTCTTAGCAGTCTTGAACACTTTTGTAGCAGGTTGTGGAGATTTGCCAACCCTGGTGGTGGTTCTCCATCTTACAGCTACCTGACTATAGTGAAAGCCCTTGGACATTCTGCACACCCTCCTTCCAAAGAAGAAGGCAGCAGTTAACTTGTACTTTACTAATGATTGTTATATGATTATTTTAGGCTGACCCCAGCTCTCAAGGTGACCTCAAACTGCTTGATGGGGAGAAAACCCAAGCAAATGGTAGTTATCAATTTATGTTTACTGATAAACAAAAGAAGATGCTCAAATCTTACAAATTACTTTATTAACAAAAACTGAGATGTGAAATTGGTATGTCATTTGTGACTTAGTGATTGGATTCCAGACTTTCATATCATTAACTATGTGGACTGCTTCTATTCTGAGTATAATAGCTTAGGAATTTTTGGTAAGACAAGACAAAGAGTGTGATACTGAACTTGAAGGCTCACACATACACTCCTCTACAAGGAAGAGGTCTTATTGATTTAAGGCTGCATTATACTGGTGTGATGTAACTTTTTTGAGCATGCTTTGATTTGCATCAACAGCAAAAGAAGTTACCTATTTATGTCCCTTCTCTGGACCAGTACGTGGTACACTTCAGATTACAAATTACAGGCTTCACTTCAAGGCAGATGATGTAAGAATTTATACATAGCTAAACTGTGTTTAAACTGAGAGTTATTATGTTGAGTGTATTGTGTTTTAAATGAGAGTTACTATATGTTGAGTGCATTGATAATGTTGCTCACAACTGTTGCTATGTATTGGCATTACTTTTATTGTGGTGGAGTTTAAATTTACTGTGGCATTTTAAGTTGTATTGATAACTAATTAGTACTCTAAATTATTATGTTGACCAAACAAAGTGTGATCCTCAGAATATAGAATTAATAACATGTTTTGAATATTTGTATTTGTACTTCATTGTGGAATGGAGCATATGTGATATAAAAGGATGAGGGAAATGATGAGTCATGATTATCGGTGTTGTTACCTTCAAGCATGAAACTATTGATTATCTTAGCATCAGACAAATTTACCCAACTGGGTGATACTGTTATTTTACTTAAAAAAAATATTAGATATAATTTAAGGTAGTATAGAATTGTGTCCCTCTGAAAAGTTCAATGATGTAGAAATGCAAAGCCCAAAATGTGCCATTGCAGTTGTATCAATCAATGATAGACAAGTGAAAGAGGTGCTCTGTTCTGTTCATAATTTTCTAGGATTCTAGTAAGATATATTGTAAATAAAACTTACAGTATTAAATATTTACCTGCCTGGACCACCAATATTGGATGTTGAATATCATTCTTGAAATCATTTCACTTTTATTAGGACCCACCCTTTACAGTAGAAGTACCTCTTGGTACCATTTATCGAGTAGAAAAGATTGGTGGGACCACCAGTAGAGGTGAAAATGCCTATGGTCTGGAACTGTACTGCAAGGTATGGTCTTTTGAATGTCAAGAAACTAGTCAGTACCTATTAATGCTCAGTACTTCATGGAATATTCAGCCTGGGCTGAGTTTATAAATTCATCGTTAAATATACATACTAATTCTCTGTGAATATTCTTTTTGTTTTGGTTTATGCTTACTGTATGTCTGGTATTTTTGCAAACTACTGCTACCTGTTAAAAGAAATTATGTAGACTTTTCTCTTTTCAAGGATTTACTAGAAAAGGGGTGCTATTTTTAATACTGATCATTTTTATCAGTTAATAATTTTACCACAATTGTTTGTTAGGTTGTCTTAGTAGTACTTCTTGCTTTAAGAAAATACTGGCCCTTGATTTTTTTTGCTCGCTGTTCAAAAATTAGTTTAGTATACCCCATCTTTTATTATTGAATTACAATCAGTGCATCAAGATTCTGCTTTTAAGCAAGGTTAAGGAAACTTATAGAGGGGATAAGTGAAGGGTCCAGGTTCCTCCCCCCCCTCCACCTTCCCAAACTGTTACTTCTCATAAAATAATTTCATATTCATTCCCAGGACATGAGAAATCTACGTTTTGCACACAAGCAAGAGAATCACTCCAGACGAATAATCTATGACAAGCTTATGGTATTTATCTTGAGTCTCTGTATTGATTCTGATGCCTAGACAGGTTATGATTAAAGCTCAAATCTTGTAGCAGTTTTAGGCAAGAAGATATTAAGATATTTACCAACCAAGGCTGATATTTGGTTGATTGTCTTTTACTGAAAGTATTCAGTTCTGGTTGGTACTGATTATATTATACGAGACTGAGTTGTGGCTAACTTCGAACCATGTATATTAAATAATGCTGTAATAATACAAAAACAAAGGAAACGAAAATGAAACAAGCTTAAAACACTTTAATTAAAATCAATTTTTTTATATACTGGCAAATTCTTTTCATTTTCCCTGATTTGCCCATCTTTGTGGGGTTATAGAAAACTGTGTACCATGTTGGTGTGATTTATGACCTCTTACTGTAAACCAGAAAAAAACTGTGTACCATGGTGGTGTGATTTGTGGTCTCTTATGTCACATGATAGTCAATTGATACAATGTACACTCGCGCAAGTCACCTGTGCAACATAAGGTTTGCCAATGGCACTTGATATGAGGTTTAAGGTTACTTTCTTTCATTGATGGTTGAGAAGAATATGGAAGTCCTCTCTAAAGTTGCATGTTTTAATAAAATCACAGAAACTATTTAATGATGATAGAGAACAGTGCTCAATCTATTGTCAAAATCTTTTTTTTAACATCAAAATGTTGGTGAAAATGCAGTTCCTATTATTAAACAGTAACATGTTTTTTGCAAGTAAAACAATTATGTACCAAATTAAGAAATGTTGCAATTATCAGTATACTGTACATATGTATGAAGGTTAAATGAAATTTTCAAGATTTTTTTGTCGCATTTATACATGTAGACTGCTTATTGTAATCTTCCATCATGAGAGAGCTTGAGATCTGACTATGAGTATGACTATGACCAAGAGTTTTGGCTGGGAATAGAGTGGCACTTAGCCCCTCGTAACAAATTTATAACTTTAGATAAACATGATGTAACACACAAGAGCTTTTTCAGAATTAGGAAAACACTTCACAAATTGATGTCAAGCCCTATTGAAGATACCTTCTTTGAAATTCTCTTTTTTTGTGTGTGTTCCTGAAATAGTTTTATCTGAGATTTCCAGAAAAAAATCTTTAGTTGGTGACAGGTCAGCTACAACTTTTTCAGAGTTAGTGTAGCCTGTCACGTTGTGAAGCATGTGTAGTACTCCTACTGAGGAAAACTCATAGTCTTACTCATAGTCAGATCTAAAACTCTCTCCTATGTTTTCATTTTCATCTAGATTTATGCATTTCCTGCAACAAATTCAAAGGTGAGGATAAATTCTTATTTTTACTATTAACAAAATTAAACTGTTTGTTGTGCTAAGGGTGCATTACATGTTCTTACTGTTAAAAGTAGCTCTATGCATGCATTTTTCTGTTAGTAAAGAAAATCTCAATATCCCCTCTTCTCTTTTCAATACATTTCCTTTTGATTGATACTGACAAGGAGAATTCATTTAACAATCAAATCTTCTTAGGCTGGTGATCATTTCATTTATTCTCATGAACTTAATGGATGATTCAGCAGTATTACTGTGAGAAGAAATTACGTGTTATAGTCACTCTTTGGGTTTTAATAGTTAAGGGTAGACTGTTTAACAAATCTTAGACATGGAAAACACTTGAAGTAGGGTTTCATGTAGTATTCTTCATGTCTCATAGAGTGGATTCTTAGTGCATGTTCAAGGATTATTAATTTATTTGAGATACCTTTGGTTCACAGCCTTTCTTTGCCTTCTCCTACAAAGAAAGATTTGATATCAATGGATGGGATATCTACGATCCAGAAAAAGAGTTTCAAAGACAGGTAAATCTGAAATACACTGTATGAGCTCAATTTGCACCATGGTAACAATGTATTTATTGTATTTAAGACTTCCTACACCACACATATGTCCACTGCTAATTTTGATTTATTTTCTTGACAATTTTTGTTACTTGTTCTTATTCTTTGTGATGTGATACAGACACTACACAATATTATGTTTTCTAACAGAATGTACCCAATGAGTGTTGGCAAATCACAAGAATCAATGAAAAATATGAGCTGTGTGATACCTATCCTGCTCTGGTATGACTTTTACATGTTTATTTTGTAATGTCTTTTTTTTTTCTGGAGAAAATCAGGCTCAAAATTTCCAAATGATATGAATGATCAAATAGAGATAATACCATGAAAGCTGCCACACAAATTTCTAGCTCAAATTGGAAACAGTGGACAAAGAGCTGCCTTCAGGAAGTGCCACTGCTATATCCCACCATCTGTGTTGATGTTGTTTAAGTGATGAGTTATTGTAAGGGGAATTAATTACTTCTTTGATCCTGGGTGTGTGGTGGTGGAAATCACTATAATTAGGGACACTTCACCCCCTCCAAAGCAGATCCTGTCTGGCCATGTGGGTGTGGTCTGAAACTACTCTGGACAGTGTTTTATTCATGTAGTTACTGACTCATTTTCGTGTTGCTTGACCAAGGTGTTGATGGAATCAGATATATTTAATATTGTTCCCTAGGATGGTTACTGATTACTGATGCTTAATGCTCTGTTTAGTTTGCAGTACCTGCTTCTGTGTCAGATGAAGATTTAAAGAAAGTTTCTGCATTCCGTAGCAGAGAGAGAATTCCAGTGAGTTAACTAGTATGCAACTCTTTCAATCCAAGAGCAAAGATAGCCAAGTTATAGTGCAGTTCTTGATATAAGAACAAAAATCATGCAACTTTCCATTGAAATCATTCAAGTTAAGTTTGTTTGAAATAGGGAGATAAATAGAAGTATCAGTTTCTTACCTGGACACTCAGTTCCTTTTAGCAATGGTAGGACAAAGGACTTGATACATTTTGTTAATATTTTTAACATCTGCTTCTCTTTGTTTTCTTTGTTTTTTTTTTTTTTTTTTTCAATTATTCTAGGTACTCTCCTGGGTGCATCCAAAGAACTCTGCTTCTATTACTCGAGCCAGTCAGCCTAACGCTGGTCTTGTTGGAAAAACCAGAAACAAAGACGATGAAAAATATTTTCAGGTCAGATACATTAATTTTATTTAGGTTTTCAGTAGTAAGCCTTCCGTGACCACTGAGAACGAACTGAAGGTCACAGTTCTTTTTAAAAGATCTGCCATTTTTGGGACGATTCCGACTTTCAGTACAGAACCTTGTTTGTTAAGTTATGTCTTGCCAACTTGAAACGTAGCTGAAAGGAGTCATTATAGTGTTTTTTTTTTTCTGTTACCAGGCCATTCTAGATACCAATGCGAGAGGACACAAGCTGATCATCATGGATGCAAGGCCTAAGATAAACGCTCTGGCAAATCAGGTATTTTGAACAGATCTCGAGTTTTGCAAGATTCAGAGCCTGCTCGTAGCTGTCAGTTTGTAGGGACGATTGAAAAAGCAGGCCAAACAAGAGAAAAATTAATGGGGAACTGGTCACTCAAAAGGCACCCTCTGTTTTTTTTCTAACCAGCTCATTTTTTTTTATCTTCACTCTTCAAGAGCCTAGTACAAGCTACAAGTTTTTAAAATTTTCTGAATTTCTGTGACGTTAATTTCAGGCTAAAGGAGGAGGGTACGAAATGCAAGAGAATTACCAGAACACAGAGTTAGTTTTCTTGGATATTGCAAACATTCATGTCATGAGAGAAAGGTAATGTATGTGGTGAATTAGCAAATTTGTCTTTCAGTTTTGACTATTCCTTAAACCATTTCTGAGTAATGCAATTTGTGCTTGTTACACTGCCTTGTAGGGTTCAGTTATCAGTAAAACTGCATTCCCACCCCTTCTATTTTCTATTTCGTTTATAGCTTGCGTAAACTTAAAGACATCTGTTATCCTACAATTGACGATGTTCACTGGCTCACAAACCTGGAGGGCACTCATTGGCTGGATTACATCAAGGTCTAATTACTAAGAAGATAACACTTTAGAGGTCT